CCCCCGCGCGGTGCCCCTTGGCCCGGCTCTTGTGCACTCGGCGCCCGTTGGGCAGGTTGTTGGGGTGACGGGGGGCCAGGCTCCCGCGGGAGCCCACGGGCTCTGGCTCCCCTTCCCCGCGGGCCGCCACCCCGCCTCGCACGCCTGACTCTGGGCCAGCTGCAGGTTGGTGAGCTTGCAGGGGCCCGGGGCCGGCGCGTGGCCGCTGCTACCGCTCGGGGATGACTTCAGGGAAGGGGGCCCCTCTCCGAACACCGGGGAACCGTCCTCTGGGGCCGCGGACACAGCTGGGGGAGAGGCGCGCGAGGCCGAGGCCGGGGGGCAGCAGGCGCGCCAGGAGGCCCGCACGTCCCTGCGCCTGGCACAGTGGTGGGTGAAGACGAAGAGGCCCAGGGCCGAGGCCGCCACCCCATACAGGCAGCTGCACACCACCCGGGGCAGCCAGCGCTGGGACACGGCCAGAGCCCCGCAGGCCCACATGGCCAGGTACAGGAAATGCGTGGTCACCAGCGCGCCCAGCTGGACTCCCGGAGAATAGAGGCCGTCCCCGTCCTCTGGGGGTCCGGGCGTCACCACCCCGGCGCTCCCAGTGGCCAGAAGGGAACCCGAGTCACTCAGGAGGGGGCCGCTGCTCCTGAGCCTGGTGGAACCCCTCAGCTCCTCCCCTTGGTCCAGGGAGACCCTGCTCGTGACCCCCTTGGAGCTCTGTGCCAGAGGACCCCTCAGATGCAGCCCTGCGCACAGGAAATAGATCCAGGTGATCAGCAGGATCAAAGCCACCGGGATGTAGAAGGCTCCTAAGCTTGGACGCCACACCAGCCAGCAGCTGAGGGGAGACACAGGCAGTGGATGAGGAGGGAGCAAGCCTGAGGCGGGGTCCAGAGGCTGGGTGGGTGGGGACAGGATGCAGTGAGTTGACAGGCAGAGACTGGCTTAGTCAACATGCACGGGCTTGGGTGGGGTCACTGGCTGGGTGAGCCCGCAGGAGCCCCTGCCAGTGGACTAGAAGGCATCTGGTGCCGGGGCGGGTAGGTTTGGGGCAGGCAGGCAGTGTGCTCACTAGGGGCTGTGGTCCCGGTAGTTGTGGATGTTGACAGCAGCTGTGATGCCACAGATAATGAGTGGGATCCCTCCAGCGATCAAATAGAACCTGGAAAGGAATGGGTTTGGGGAGTCAGAGAGAGGAGGAGCAAGGGAGAGGAACCAGGTGCTCAGAACCCTTGACTCGGGGTCTCCATCCCATCTTCTTTCCCCTTTAAATTCTGTCAGGATTTTTTTTGCCATGGATGCAAGGTGCTTACAAGGCAGGCTTGGTAGATCCCTAGGGGACTTGGCCAAGACTATTCTAAGGGACAGAGGCCAGACCTCTCTCTACTCTAAGTGCAGAATTTGAGGGTTTCCAGGTTCCCTGCTCAGTGCCCACTACATGACCTTCAGCAACCGGGCACCACCTAGAGTCTTGCCTCTTCTGTCGTTGGGACAGTGGTCTCCCAGGACCTTGGACCCACCCTGCATCCCCCCGGGGAGAGTTGATTTGGTGTCCTACGCCCCCCTCAGAGCCCTTCCCCCCTGCAAAGCTGATATCGGGAAGCATGTACCGGAGCATGGGACGGGGAGCAGGCGGGGCAGAGTCCCCTTCCTGTGGAGGGGGCGCCCTCCAGGTGAGCTCCTTGTGGAGGACGCGGGCCTTCACACCCATCCAGAGCAGGGTGGACAGTGAGGAGTAGTGCAGAGTGATGCCCACCTGCGGGATCAAGGTGCTGAGGCTGGGACTGCTACCACATCCAGGGAGGGGCTGCTTCCATTGGGGCCAGGCCAGAGCCTCAGCCCCCCAGTGTGCTCCCACTCCTCCCATGTTCCCAGCCCCCAACTTCCCCAGACCTTCCCCCAGGTCTGTCCCTGCTGTTACCCTCTCTACGTCCGCCCCTGGCTTTCCCCCCACTCTGGTGACTCCATGACTTAGTTACTGCTATCTGCTTCATCCCCGACCTCTCCTCCATCGCAGCTTCCCACTCTCCACTTTGAAGTCCCACCTCCTAGTTTTCCTGCTTCTTACTTCTTACCTTCTACTCTCATGCTCCTCTCCCCTGACAAGTAAGACTGGACACAGAGAGAACAATGGAGCTGGGGCCTATTAGCATGAGTCCCCTTTTTCCTCTCCTGCCCCTCCCTACGGCCCAGGCTGCCATCACTAATCTTGGAGCTCCCCAACCCCCACCTCAGCCCCTTCTCCTCTTACCGCCTGGCAGACCATCTGGTAGTTGGTGAGTGTGATGCCTCCTGCAAAGACGGCGGAGGTCATGGCCATGTGGAAGCACAGGTTCAGCAGCATGTGCCAGCCCTTCCGGGACACATGGATGGAGCTGCCCCAGAAACAGTAATTAATGGGCCACCCAGCCCAAGGTCAGGCCCAGGGGGTCTCAAGGCCATGGGGAGGCCCACAGAGGGGGTGGCAGGTATCTGTGTGCATGCACATGTGGGAATGTGATAGAGGCTCCAGGGAAGGCAGGTCTTAACCCACAAAATGTGTTTCCCAACCCCAGAACCTTCAAATGCTAGGCGAGAGCCTGGCAAAGTCATGTGGACCGACCTGGGAAAGGAACACTTGCCAGTACTTAGTGAGACACCCCTGCCCCCAAGCCTTCCCACCCCACCCTCCTTTCCTGCAACAGCTCCCACCTGTGGTTGAGGATGTAGGTGATGATGGTGGAGAAGAGGCAGAGCAGCAGCAGGGCTGTGCAGGGGT